GTCCGGGTGCCGCGCTTGCTACATTCCCAGCAGAACAGGATCGAGGGATTTTGGCATTCATATGCCGCATGCCCTGCTTCACCACACCGGCGACAGGCTGCGCGTGGGTTGGCGATGGGGGTCGTAATCATGCGATGTGCTACCTCGGGCTTTGCCGTACTCACTGGGTTGGATGGCTGTCTTCTTGGTGAGTCTGCCGAGTCCCAATGGAGCTTCCGGAATGGTGTCTGATTGGAGTCGCCGCTCCTCTGATCTGTAGCCGGCCGTGCGTATCTGGGCGTGTGTCGTGGCGGTGCGAGAGTGCTCGGGATGGTCCGCTCTTGAATACTCTCAAATTCCGTGGCCAGCAGTGTTAGCTGTGACAGGTCCTGCAGTTCGTGGCGGCGCACGTACATCTGGTAGGCTGGGAGGGCGTTGTCGTAGATCCTGGTTAGCTCCTTGGTTGCGTCGTACCCAGCGTGGCGCATAAGTAGACGTATCTCGATGAGGAAATCTTTGAACAGTTCCCCAGCCACTTGCTTCCGGGCTAGGATCCGGTTTTCCAATTGTTCAAAATACCGTGGTGGCAAGAAGAACGTTAAGAATTCCTGGCGGAAATTTTCCCATGAGGAACTTTGTAGGCGGCTGGTGCGGAACCAACGACTGGCACGGTCTGTGAGAAGTTCGGCCATGGCCCGCGGCAGATGGTTTGTGTCCACCCCATACGAGAGCGCGCGTTCTTCGAGCAGTTCGATGAATGATAGAGGGTCATCTTGGCCGTCAAACTGGATTCCCCACTTCCGGATGCGTTCCGCCATTGGTGCAGCGTGGTTGTAGTGGTGCCCTTCCATGGGTCGGTCGATCGCTGGCAAGACCCTCGGTACGGGTGCTGGGTGGGTCTCTGTAGCTAGGGGCCTTGGAAACGGGGCGGCAGGAGTGCGGTATTCGGTGGCTGCGGGGACTCGTAGTCCGGTCTTAGGATCCATTTGGCGAGTGTCGGATGGTCCATGAGTAGTGGGCAGTGGTGACTTGGAACGAGAGCGTGAGGCTGGCTTGGCATAGTGCCTCTCAAACTCTCCTAGGCGGACCCAGGCTTCTTGCGCGAGTGGCCCGGCGACTAGAGCGGCAAATTTCCTTCGGCGTTCATCGACCGTTCCTTCGCTGCCGAATCCGAATTCTTCGGCGAGGACTTCTAGTTCGTCCCGACGGAGTTTGTGGATCCAGCCGGTGCTGACCCCTGGGTTGGAAAAGTGTCCCGCAGGGTATGCCTCCTCTGGTTGTTCATCGTCGTGATGTTCCATGTTGATTTCTGTTGATTTTTGGCAATGAGTCACTGTTAAACGGCACTTTTAGGATCGGCACTGCGTATACTTTCGCGTTTGTTTTCGCGCCCGGATTATGTAAGTGCGCGGACTTGTTATTGATTCAATTTTCTTTTATATGGCAGTGGGTCTTTAATCCACGAAGTCCCTGATTTCGGTTTTCTTGAAGTTTCCACGAAAAATCCTTTAAAGTCCCTGCTCGGGCGCCACTTGTAATGTCCTATTTCAGGCTGAGGTATGCATCAGCCTGTCCAGGGTCCTGAATTACAAGATATTTCTAATTCACGAGGACTTTATCGGGAAACCAGGAACTTTGCCAGAAACTGAAATAGAAATCACAACACTTTTTGGTTCTTTTAATTTTTAATGGTTTTCTTTATTCTTCCGTCTTCTTCCGTATGATTATTCTACCCGGTTATGTTATGTTTTAATTGTGCTACGACGCGTATGGTAGTTTGACTCGACTGCCGCCCGCGATGGCTGATTGACTGCCTCCCTCGATGGCTGGTGGACTGCCTCCGACGATGGCTGGTGGACTGCCCTTTTCTTCATGCAAGGCAGTGCCTTTTATAGATCGGCCGGCCTTCGATTTTCCCATGAATGTCCAGAATGTGGGAAGGGTTCTTACATAAATATATATTGCCAAAGTATAGTCTGCGCGTGTAGACGGGCTGATCGGTAACAGAAGGTTACCTAATCATTTGCCCTGCAGTCAATGTCCGAGTTGGAGACTGCTGACTGGCTTGCGCATGTGGGGGGTTTTGCTTGGTAGTCGAGAGTTACCTAAGCAATAGCCTCCCAATAGTGTCCAATGTCCCAGGTAAGGTGATCGGTGTGCACCAGTACCGTGGGAAAGGAATTTCGTTGGCATTATTGCGTAAGCCCCTTCTGCTGGTCTCCTGTCTTTTGGCGTGTGCTGAGTTTGCATTTTTGCTGGGTGTTGATCGCTTCACCTGGGAGTAGCGTTGGCTGCTTCATCTGCTGTGACGAACCATGGGATCCATGGTTCGTTACAGGCGAAGGCGTGCCTCGGATGGCGTGATGTTTATATTGTCGTCACTCATTTTTATTTAATTTTAAGTTTATTTATGTGATTATCTAGTTCACGGTAAACTCTCCACGAAACAGAGCTTACAATAGCGACAAATTCAATCCGTGTGTTCGTGGCGAAGGGTTACTAAACATATATACCTACTTTTCAAGGGTCGTTAGACTATATTAATCCGTTCCGTTTGCTCTCAAGTTTTCGACTCTTTCGCTCTCAGGAGCAATGCAAATCACTCAGATCGCTCAACGCTATGCTCTCAGGCTTTATCTACGATTAGTGAGCGAGCGTTTGATGATAAAAGCGAGCGTGCATTAGATTTAAGAGCGCAAAGAGCTTGTTGGCCGCGGCTGCTCCGAACAATCGGTAAACAAGATACCGATCTTCCGTTCCAGGCTCTTCTGGGTCTATAAGATCAAATGCTTCTGGAACTGTAGATTCAGGTTCGTTACCTGTTTCAATTGTTAGAGCCTAGTACTCAGATCCGAAAAAGAGAGCGCGAATAAAATCAGGATTGATGCATAAAAAGTTATGTAATTTTAGTTTGTGTTTTTTGTGTTTGTTGTGCTTAGGAAATGGCGCTGCTGCTAACCATGTTTGGCATCAATACAATGTTCCGTTTTGGCTGCTTTATACGCACGAATCGAACTGCAAAAAATATGCGTGTGTGTGTGTGTGCCGTCCACTGATATGAAGGAATGCTTGAGAATCTTCAAGTCCAGAGAATGCAATAGTCATCATTCTCAGAAATGAATTTTTTAAACAAAAATGTAGTCGCGTGAAGCGATATGAACCATTGCTCGTTGAAAAAGACGTTATATTACGTGAAGTTTCTTCTAGTTAAATTTGATGAAAACCTGACATTAAGTCAAGGTATGAGAAACCTGTGGATTTAGCTATACCTAGTTGATCCAAAATATCATCAATTCTACGGATTTGAAATTTATCAGACAAGAGTTTTTTGTTTATCTGACGATAGTCAACTAAAAATCGCCATTTCGTTTCTTTTGTACCCGGAAGGGCTTTCTTTGGAACAAGTAGAAGTATTGTGTTCTGATACGGATGGTTCGACTATATTGTCGGAGATTAATTATACGCGTAATCAAAAAAGAATAAAGGGGTATATTGTATTTGTGGTAAAAGTGGATGTGTGCAACGCAGAGTAGGAAACGTTTCCGACCCAATAAAGTATATAAATTCTTGATCAGCATCAATAGCCGAGTCGATATAGCCATGTCCGTCTGTCCGTCTTGATGAGCGCCTAGATTTCAGAGACTATAAGAGCTAGAGAAACCAAATTTGGTTTTCAGACTCATGTGATATCACACTGCTACAAGTGTATTTCAAAATTTCGCCCCGCCCCCTTCCGCCCCCACAAAGGACGAAAATCTGTGGCACGCACAATTTTAAAGATACGATAAAACTAAACAATCGTAGAGAATGCCCATATCTACCAGATTGCCGAATCTGAATCAGATCGGATCATAATTATAGCCAGAATGAAGAAATTAATTTTCTGTTGCTTCCCCCGTCTACTTCAGCCAGAGAGCTACTCATTCTCTTTCTCGCTCGCACACTCTGCCGCGTTCAGTGCGCGAGCAACCCCTAGCGGAGGAGATGTAGAATCTAAATGGTACATGTAGAATATACATGTTAGATGTAGAATATACATTGTAGATGTAGATAAAAAATGTAAAATGTAAATTTTTTTTTTTAATTAAAAATTCTTAATAATTATACCCGTACTCAGAAAAGAGTTAAGGGGTATATTAGATTTGTGGTAAAAGTGGATGTGTGTAACGCAGAGAAGGAAACGTTTCCGACCCCATAAAGTATATATATTCTTGATCAGCATCAATAACCGAGTCGATATAGCCATGTCTGTCTGTCCGTCTGTCTGTCTGTCCGTCTTGGTGAGCGCCTAGAACTCAGAGACTATAAGAGCTAGGGCAACCAAATTTGGTTTCCAGACTCATGTGATATCACACTGCTACAAGTGTATTTCAAAATTTCGCCCCGCCCCCTTTCGACCCATCAAAGAACGAAAATCTGTGGCAGGCACATTTTTAAAGATACGATAAAACTGAAAACGCAGAATCGTAGAGAATGACCATATACATATATCAGAATAAATTCATTTTCAGTTGCTTCCCCCGCCTCCTCCACGCTATTCATTCTCTTTATCGCTCGCACACACTCTGCCCTGTGCAATGCGCAACGCGCTACCTTTGCGGAGAATATGTAGAACCTACACTGTGTATGTATAATTTACATTTTATATGTGGAATCGACATTGTAGAGGCAGATAACAGATGTAGCAAAAAAAATGTGAAATATAAAATATTTTGAAATTCTACATAAATCATAAGCTCACTGAGTACGGGTATAAAAGTAGAGTCGCGTCCAAAGAAGCGTTTCACATGTTCCTTCTCGTTTGATATTGATTAGGTTTCAGCCCAAATATGACTCTATATTTGGAACATAATTCCGTTATGTGCGGTTTGAGCTGTGAGGGAAGTGTTTTCTTAGCTGCAATTTTTTGATTAATGCGTTGATAGTAATCTCATATTGGACTCTATAGAGGGTCGAGCCGATTATTTTGAATTTGATTACCTCTATTGCAATTGCTTCAAATGGTTCCAGCTAGCAGCCACTTAAATGGAAGCAGCCGTTCGTCCTTGATGCAAACGATATCGTTGACCTTGACAGACGGCTCCAAGGACCGCTATTTTGAGCGCTTTTGAAGCGGAGTTAAATACTCCTCGCTCCACCTTCTCCAGAACATCTGCTGAATGCGGGTGACGTGTTGCCAACGATCCAGCCGACGACGATAGGTCCGGCTCCGGAAACGTTGCAAGGGGTCGACCAATGAGAAAGTGGACCGGTGTGAGGACGCCAAGATCATCTGGATTCTCTGAAAGGGGAACAAGAGGGCGAGAATTTATTATTCCCTGTATTTGGCATACCAAGGTCCGAAGCACTTCGAAACCAAGGACGCCCGTTCCGACTGAAGTGTACAGGTGCCGCTTAGTCATTTTGACAGCAGCCTCCCAATGTCCGCCAAAGTGCGGGGATCGATGTGGGATGAAACGCCAATCGAAGCCACTGTTCAGGCAATGCGCATGAACATCGTCGATGTTCTTTTGGCTGAAGAGCAGGCGTTTTAGCTTCTCCAGCTCATTCCTTGCGCCAACGAAGTTGGTCGCATTGTCCGTCCAAATGCATCTTGAAATGCCTCTTGTGGCCGTAAAACGTTTGAGGGCGGCCAAGAACGAAGCTGTCGTCAGATCCTTTACAAGCTCCAGCCATACTGCTTTGGTGGCGAAGCAAATAAGCACCGATATGTAACACTTCTGTGGGGACTTCTTGCGTACATCGGTCTTGTAGTAGAAGGGTCCACAGTGGTCAATCCTGGTCACAGTGAATGCCAGTGACTTCTCCACTCGAACCTTTGGCAAATCTGCCATTATGTGCTTCACGAGATGAGGCCGATATTTGCTGCAGATAATGCATTTCCGCACTGCGCGAGAAACCGTCTTTATTCCGCCTATCGGCCAATACTGCAACCGAATCAAGCCGAGCAGTGACTGCGGGCCTGCATGGTGATGCTTTCGGTGAAAGTGCTCAACGACGGCAAACGTCAACGGATGATCCTTCGCTAAAATAATTGGATGGCGAGCATCATAATCAAGCGTTGAGTATTGAAGTCCACCTGTGCGAGCTAAGCCAGCAAGAAGCGCGGCACCATAGAGCTCTAATTTGTGAATGCCGATCATGTTCAGAGATGCCAGAAGAGATTTCGAACAAAGTAGATGTGTCTGAACTCCAAATCCGATCGCGTATAAATACGCGTTCAAACGCAGCGAGACTGGCATTACAAAATACATGCACTTCGAACCTGGCTCCAACTTGCAGAATGTAGCGAGGAAACTCCTGGCAGAATTGGGTCCACTCACTCTCCAACGCCTGCGGCAAGCTTTCATCCCAGTCCAACTTGCTTTTCCACATCTGCTGAAGAATTATCTTCGCCCTTGTCAACGTTGGTCCGATTAAACCAAGGGTATCGTAGCACCTTGCGATTACTGATAACCAGTCCAAGAGCTTCGTAAGTCGCTCCCGTCGTCAGACTTTAGAAGGGGTTCCTTGTCGGCCCTTGACACTTGAAGCACTTCTAAGAGCTCGAGCACCACTTCTTAAACGAAAATTACAACGACCAAGGAGTTTTGTGCTTTGATGCATGACCTCCGCACTCTTCGACGGCATCGCCTCCTGATATCATGTCATCAACTAGAAGTCCCGCAAAACGACTTTCCAGCCCAATGGATACGACGAAGACTCATCCATGGCGAGTTGTTGCATGCACGATGGCAAATGAAACAGGCTTGGTGCCATACGTGACCGTGTCCAGCTTAAAAACTTGGATGTCATCTTTGGGTGAATCACGCCACAGGATACACTGTAACAGAAAATCTGGCTCTGCCACGCGTACACATCGGTACATCTTACAAATGTCTCCAGTAATTCCAGTAGGAAATGTACGAAAACGCACTAGAGTGGCGAAGAGCTTCGCCTGAATTGTGGGCCCTAACATTAGTAGCTCCTTTAACGAGAATCCAGACGACGTCACTGCTGAGCCATCGAACACGACCCTTAACTTTGTGGACGAACTCTCCTCTTTCAATACACAATGGTGCGGCAAGAAGTATTTACACTCATGTACTTGCGAGCTAGGCACGGACGACATATGCTTGAGGTCCAAATATTCCTTAATGAATGCTGCGTTGTCCTCCTTAACCTTTGGATTTCGACTAAACTTGCGCTCAAGATTCTCAAATCGCCTTTTGGCTTGCAAATACGAATCGCCTAACAGACCTACATCACGCTTCATCGGCAGATGAACAGAGTATTCCCCCGTAGGCAACCTACTGTAGTGCTGCTTGAAGTGCTCTTCACAATGAAGCTCTTCTGCGGACATCCTTGAGATTGGCTCTACTTCCCAGAACTGACGAACCAACTCATCTAACTGGACAACTGGGGTAGACGCAGGCGTTGATCTTTGCGATGCAACAAACGATGACGACTGTGGCAGTCGATTGCAGCCTCCCGAGAACAACCATCCAAGGAGTGTTTTTTGCAGCAATGGCAATCCCGAAGCTAAATGGATTTGGTCAACGCACAGCAATTCAAAAAATAAATCTGCTTCGATGAGCAAATCAATTCGCTGTGGTATGAAAAACGATGGATCAGCAAGCTGTATATTCGACGGTACGCTCCAAGATTCAATGTTGAACGAATGGTTAGGCTGCTGGTCTGTTATCCGCGGAGCTACAACGGGCGATACGGGCGAAGGCATGTAATGAAGCAGCGTATGGTGCTTTGATTGGCAGGTACGGCAGGGATGTGATCGTCAATCAGGCATCTAATGGCCCTTATGCAAGCAGTTAATGCACAGTGACAGTCGCTTGGCCTTCTTATGCCGCGCTTTTTTTAGGATACGTACTCACGGACTTTACTGCTTTGCTAACCTGACCAGAATTCCAATGGAGGGCGTGATCAACGTTTTCCAGGGTACGATATCTTTTAAAGGCGAAGGCGTGCCTCGGATGGCGTGATGTTTATATTGTCGTCACTCATTTTAATTTAATTTTAAGTTTATTTATGTGATTATCTAGTTCACGGTAAACTCTCCACGAAACAGAGCTTACAATAGCGACAAATTCAATCCGTGTGTTCGTGGCGAAGGGTTACTAAACATATATACCTACTTTTCAAGGGTCGTTAGACTATATTAATCCGTTCCGTTTGCTCTCAAGTTTTCGACTCTTTCGCTCTCAGGAGCAATGCAAATCACTCAGATCGCTCAACGCTATGCACTCAGGCTTTATCTACGATTAGTGAGCGAGCGTTTGATGATAAAAGCGAGCATGATAAAAGCATTAGATTTAAGAGCGCAAAGAGCTTGTTGGCAGCGGCTGCTCCGAACAATCGGTATCTTGTTTATCTTCCGTTCCAGGCTCTTCTGGGTCTATAAGATCAAATGCTTCTGGAACTGTAGATTCAGGTTCGTTACCTGTTTCAATTGTTAGAGCCTAGTACTCAGATCCGAAAAAGAGAGCGCGAATAAAATCAGGATTGATATTCGTATGAAATCGATAACTTCTGAATAAGAGCAAAAAAATCAAATGAAATATTAAATTAATGAAGACAAATAGAATCTAATTAAGGCAGCTTTATGAAGGACAATTATTATTATTATTATTATTTATTATTTTTATGAACTTTTATGATTATAAAACAAATATTGTTTTCAAAACATGTTTGCTTCAGGCGTCGCCATCTGCTGCTGCTGATAGCCAGACACATTTCTTTGGCAATAAAATATTGGGGAGCCCAGGATATGCCTGGGAAAGAGTGACCCCAGCCGAAAAGTGCATTACATTGACTTTGTTTACTATAAACAAAATCAAACAGATGTCTGAAAAATGTAACCGTACGGAATGCAGCGCACACCTCTGGTCATACTACTGACCGATATAAGAATATCAGGGGTGCCACAGAAATCACTAGTGAAATGGGAAGCCGCGCAGATGATTTTCCAAAACCAAATTCGAACTAAGGCTAGGGTTGACACCTTTCAAGATTCAATTCGAATAGGGTTCGTTTTGCAGTTTTATTGATTTTATCATATCAAAACAATTGGTTTTTAACTTTTTTCCTTTTATGATATAAGATAATAGATTTTTCAAAGCGGCTTTTTATAATTTTAAAGCAAAAACACATCGTGCGAGTCAAATAAAACAATTTACTCGGCAAATCTAGCAGTTGTCTGGCAACTCTCCGTGCATGGCAGCAATCAGCTGTTCAATAAAAACAGACATCTGAATTTTACGGAAAACTTAATTGAAATGTTTTTACCGAGATTGTTGGTCATCGAAGAACTACGGAGGCAAAATATTAGAATACAAAAATTGCAGCGCAGGCTTCTCAGATGCGCATCGGACTCGTTTTCACGTTCAGACGATACGTATGTAGTTTTTGTGATTGTCTACTCAAACTGCTGCTAATTTAGTTTATTACAATTACCAGTTTGGTATAATGATCGCTATGCTTCTATTTGTGCTGCCATGGCTCTGCACTTAGCCGAACAGGGGTTTTTGTCATAAATGCAATGGCAATAATGTGTAGAAATAGCTTGTTAGTTCTTGTTAGTTTGGCATTTTGAAGCGATGCCACCTGGTAGAACTACAAATGACTACAAATGTTTTCACAATTTGCACAAAAAGTATGCACACGTTTGACGTAAAGAAAGTTTTACTGCAATGAAATATTTTTTGTAATGCTTAATTAAAGAAAAACAGAATGCTTTCAATATAATCAATATTAAATATCTTGCTCCGAATTCGACGTAAAAAATGTGGCATTACTGTATTAACTTCGAAAGTCCGAATCGCCATAGGTGACCACCTCGGTCTGCAGCGGATTGAGAGCGGAATTGAGAGCGAAATCGTCACCAATTGAACAACCTTTATGGGAAAATAAGATTCAAATCGTTTTAGGTGTGTTTTATGGGTGTATTTAATCAAATTGCTGGATAAATTGTGAGCGATTTTGATTCCGCTGAAAAATTGTTGTGTGGCACGGCGGAATGGAATTGGGGTGAGGAATTTTCAGCGGAAGTGATTTCTGTATATGAAATATTTTTGCTAGCAAACATTTTTTGGATCTGAGTACTTGGCTTTAAGTGAGACTGAGCGCGGTAAAAACTCTTAATCGTGAATATATCGACTTGAAAAATAATACAAATACTTCTTTGTATTTGTATTGTAATCTTCCTCAAGATTTCGAAAAAATGTTCAAAGAATTGCAAACTTGTAGCTCTCCTTTATTATGCTTTATATTACCCTCGATTGCCAAAATAAATAAACTAATTAAGTTAGTTCTTCGTGCTTGTCGAAATTCTCGTATTGCGCCTTAGCAACGATTTCCAGCAGCAGGTACTAAAAAAACAGAAACACAAGCAAAGGCTTGCACCAAAAAAACCTAAACACACAAGACACTATACATTTTGTGACTCAATTATTTTGCTTCCCTTTTCACCCATCCTTCTTTCGACTCCGATGCACCAACGTACGCCAGCGCCACACACGAATGCAAACAGCTACCTACCCTGTAGCGGCGGTGGTGATTGACGCTGCCGAACTACCTACTACGCTGGTCCGTACATGGGTACCCACCGAAGTAACCTTATGGTAAGTGAACGCCGAAGAACTCAAAGAGTAGAAAATAATTTTACTCTGTAGACTTTACAACCCACCGCGTACCACCCAGCGAACTAGTTCGATGGGACTTCAACGTCTCACCAGTTGACGAAAGAAACGAAAAAAACGAAACAAAATAAGAAATAAAGGAGCCAAAAATGAAGCTGCGCTGCGTTTTCGGTTTTTGACATTGCATTGCTGGAATGTTC